AGGTTGCCATAGGGAACTACAAAGTATTTCTTTTCTGCAGGGGGCGATGTAAGCAATGGCAGCCTTTCCATATCGGTCAGTCATACGTCCAATGGGCTTTGTGCAGCATGGAGTAATTGGCGGTTTCACAACACATTAAATAATAAAAGGATTTTGCTAATGATGATTCTATGTTAATCTTACTACCCAGGATCTGCTCCGGGGGCCTTGCTTGGCATTTGTTGTTTGCACTGTGCTGTAATCGTATAAGTTGGCAGGGATGTCGCGGCCTAAAGAGCTTTTGATACAATAATGCAATCATGTTTTTGCTATGGTAATGTATTATGTCTGAATCTGGCTGCAGTTCATTCACCAACGCTGTGAGTAATACCTATTTTCAAATATGCATTATGTTGGTTAACCGAAAAAAGGAATCCTGAAAGAATCCGGAAAAGGATGGAAAGGAAATAGATAAACTAGTGAGGAAGGATGCAAGTAAGGAACTCGTGAAATGTGCTGGTCTTTGCAAGGTCACTAATCTCCAAACTAAGCGATGTCCTTGGTTCACAGATACAATTATGATGATTTCGACAAAGCGTATGTCTGCTATGTGTCCTTGCACCAGTACTTAATCATTCTTAGCTTCAGTAATTTTAAAGTTCATGAGCAAAATTATTATCCATTTCGAGTGGATACTATTGTTGGATCTCAGATTGCTGATTGGAGTGAAGGTAAAGTAAAAAATACCCAATTCATGTTTTGGATTGGGTATTTGTCTGATGAGCCCAAAACCTTATCAGATAAAACTAATTTAAAATCACAAGGTTGTCCGAATAGTGCCCATTGACCATGAATTCTGATAATAGCTTATCGTTGGCCTGTTCATGTTGTGTTCACCCTGCGTTGTCTAACTCCGATACTAAGATTACGGTTTGCTATTTTTGAATAATACTGTACATCTGATTGTGTGTATATAATTCTATTAGTATGACTTTAACATCAACTATAATTTATTACTAAGCTGTTCTTTTACTTAAATTATCCTTTAATTTCTACAGTATGTTGACAGTTTCTCCCCCTCTTACGTTGGAAACATGCATGTGACATCAGCATGTGACAAATCTGCAGAGAGGCGAGACTTCTCACTCTAAGAATTCATTTTTAAACGCCAAAATCATCCATCCTTGAATACTGTACGCTTTAACTAATACTAAGTGAGATGCCAAACAAAACAATAGCACATCTATGTCAACAAGCAGGAAGCTGTCTCAAGTAGTTGCGCAAGTAAAGCTTTATGGAGATAATAATTAAGATACTTAAAGTTTACAATGATGCTTTACAAAAACGTTTTTTTACCAAGATCCCAAAAATAAAGTTTCATACCAAAGCAAAGATGTAAATATACAAAATGCTGGACATAAACGCTTGTGATGTGGCTATACATGCATTGACAAAGATGTATTTTTATTGTCTTAATAGTATGTGCAGGATTCTAAAAAAGCTATTCACTCAGAGCCAATATTTCTCCCTATGCTTGTTAGTTGTGAAGTAGTCTATCACAGCAATGACTGTCTAATTACGGTATACAGAAGCACTCAGAACACTTCAGCTCTATCTGGTGAAGATGGCCTGAATGAAGTTGTTGAGTGTTGAACAATGCACTCGTCATCTGTATTAAGCAGTTCTCATAGACCCAGTCACAGCCTCTCAAATCCCCCCTCTGTTCCTCTAGAGCCGCTGCTGCCTCTCCAATTCAATGGCGTCTAGTTTGGAAAGGAGATGCAAATGTTTTCTCCGCTGACGTTGCTCCTTTTTGAATATACTGAAGAAGGCTCATTCATACAGGCCCGGAGTGTGGGTATTATTGGCCCCGGGTTTTCGCAAATATGCACGGAGGAGAAGGACGGTCCTGCCGTGTCTGTGAGTGACAATGGAGTGCCTTGTTAATGTCAGAAACACACGAGGCTGGAGTGGTTGTGTAAACTGTGTCTCCAAGGTTCAATTATTGGAGTGTGACGTCAGAGGTGACTTCAGGACACTTAAGAAATCAACTTGTGGTGATTAGTTCTTACATCTTGCACCAGGAAAAGTCATATATATTTTTGTGACTCATACACCTGATATAGGTGGACTATGCTAACCCTCTATCTCAATGAAGTCTAATAGGGAAGTGCTCTTAGATCGCTCTAAATTACAAGAGTTAATTCCTCTGGCTCATTAGAGAAGTTTACTTTGTGCCACACTCATCATTTTGGCCTTAACATTGCCCCGGAGTATTTTGATTTTTGTATTCTGTGTCAGAGTGGATACACTTTCAATTCTCAGCAAGAAGGTCCTTGGTTTGAATCCCGGTCGGAACAGGGCCTTTCTGAGTGGAGTTTACATGTTCTTCTTGTGTCTGCTCCGGTTTCCTCCGGGTGCTCCGGTTTCCCCTACCACAAAAAATATGTACAATAGTACAGGGTGAATGAGTGTGTGGTTGTGATTGCGACTGTGGGACGACGGATGGAAATCAGCCCAAGGCTGCGATTAGGAGTGATGTGTCAATTAAAATGTACCGTCCCAACCAAATAAACAATAAACGTATACACTTATATTGTCTCGGTAAATACAAATATAAGCCAAAAGGATTGACCAATTAACCTCACAAGAAAAACTCCAGCTTACCTTATAGCAACCATGTTATCCACATGCTAGTTTGCATCTGACCATGGTATGGGTCAGATTCATTTTTTGATTAGCTGAAATGTGGGGAAAAGGCTATCAGTCTTGAAATAACACATTTTTGCTCGTCCCGTTGGAAAATCACGTTTTATAAACAAGAATGAATCAAACATAATAACCACTTGATTCAAGCATTACCTTGTGTTGTACTCGTTTCTGCAGTGACCTTGCACTGGGTCCCCATCTTTTGGACTGTTTTGTCTCCATCAAGATTGATGACCATTTTCCCACCAAACCACATTACACGGCAGTTCAGCGGAGGGGCGAGGTCAATTGGAGTTCTAAGCATATCTTGGTATTTCTTCACTCTATCTTTCGCAGTTACTTGCTTTGGCAGTTGACTAAATAATCAATTTAGGTTGTTTAATGCCGTACTGTTCAATATTCTAGCATACGTAGATGATGTTCTTGAAGTACTAAAGTACTATTGTCCCTTTTTATCCTTTATGTAACATGTTAGCGAGTTGGATTCTTGTTTTTGAGGTAACGACCAACATGATCTGACCTGTAAACACTGGAACTCCTTTTCCTCTTTAATGCTTGTTTTTTTTTTCTCGAGTTTGCCTCAAAACACAGAAAGGAACTAGGCTGACTTTGTGCCCCCGTGGGGAATACTATCTTCTTGAACTACATTTCCCAAAGGCTGCCTGCTGCCTCTTTAAACAAAACAGACACAGATTGTGATGAGTGGTGTGAGAGATTCAGCTGGACATGTTGAAATATTTGCTGGAAAACAATCTGAAATCTTATCTCTTTGGCGATAGCGCGGTTTCAACACAATGAATGCCGACGATCTGGACTTTCTGAGTAGGAAAGGCTGTCCTGCCACATATTTTTTCCTCTCCTCTATGCTTTCGTTCACCGCTGCCAGTGTGAGTTGCTACGGCCGTGGGGTATCCTGTGTCTCTCTCTGGTTATGCAACAGTAAGGGGCCTAAGTGGATTATAAAGCGCAGTAGTAGTGATGGCTTGGAAAAATGAAAACGGCATATTTTCAAGTTTTTTTAAAGAGAGCCCCCCCCCCCACAAAAAATGGAAAGAATGGGGATAACCTCAGCTGTGGCCAATTCTACTGGCTGGCTCGGTGTTATGTGAACTTTATCTGAGACAGCTTTTCTTCACCCATTGCATAACACTCTTACAGGCTACTGAATAAAAGAACACTTTCAAGTAGGGCTTATTTGGGAAGGATGGACAAAAGTTTCTATGTCTGAGTGTTAGATGAATACGTACAAGCATCTGGAGTGTCGGTTTTCTGTGGCCACTCAAGATGCTTGGTTCATAATGTCTTAGAAGTGTGTTTTTTCCATATAGGGCCCACAGCAAAAGACTGAGACAGTCTGAGTCTAGACCATTGTGTCATATGCAAGGAAATAGAATGACCTTTTCTCTTTTGAAATGTTATACGGCTTTGAGAGTTTTGAAAAGTTGATATCTTAATATAATTTAAAAGATACGTTATTCAACACATTTATATCTTTTAATCCTGTCTAAAAGCTCCTGTCTCAGCCCTGTAATTGAAGAAAAACTGAAAAACAAACCTCCCTCTGGTGGTGGGATTGTATATGGCAGGCTGATAGCATTGTTTACCTTTTATTCTTCATATATATTTGTACTCCAGATATGATTTCACATTCTAAAACATTCAATTACAAAGTAAAAAGTATCATTGAATGGATGGTGTTGATTGGGGGCTGATGGTCCAGTGTGTTCGGCGACTCGCTTCCATCATCACCGTGTGTGGAATGATTGGAGCAATATCTGAACTCTGAACTTTGTAAACTGCTCTGGGTGACCTTGGTCTGTAAAATGTGCTATATAAATAAATATTACTTGCTTACTTACTCATTATCGTTTCTGTTACCCAAAAATAATGCATCATATTTCTTCTTTCAATAAAACTCTGTGTTAACTCGTCTAAAATGGTGAAGGTCAGAATTTCCTGTAAAAGGACATCTATGAAAGAAGTTTTTGATTACGGAGGATTTAATATGGCTGTTTTTGTGGAAAATGTCCCTGCATTGGTTATGACAGGTCATCATAGCAATTAAACACTCGTATTATGCCAGTATGAAGGATGACATGTACTCCAATTATCTTCAAAAGTAGAAGTGAAGGATTGCTAGATGACAAAATGTTGCTTACTTTGAAACAGAGTGGGTTTGCAATGAACTTTGAAAAGTCGTTTTAATTTTAGAATGCAATGGGACGAATTAGGCAGAAAATATTTTTAAACATGCTCATTCATACAGGCTATTGTTTAGGTCTATAATATTGTTTTTTTTTTCTCTTTTACAGAATATCCTGACGCCAACATTGTGGATCATAATGGATATACTTAGCCAACTCCTGGGATTCTTCTTGTTTTGATCTCAATTCCCCTCGCTTTCAAAACTGGACTAGCTCTACCAACTGCTCCTTTATTTCCCCCCTGTGAAGTTCTCTCACTAAATAGACTGCCATCATGCCGATCCTCAAGCAGCTGGTGTCCAACTCCCACCAGTCAAAGCGACGGTCTCGTGCCGACCTGACTGCAGAGATGATTAGCGCTCCGCTGGGAGATTTTCGGCACACCATGCACGTCGGACGAGGCGGAGACGCATTCGGGGACACATCTTTTCTCAGCACCCGATCAGGAGAGCCGCCGAGGGAGGAAGAGCCCAAGCAAGACTTCACTGGATCCAAACCGAGTCTTTTGTCTCGCACATTCAGAAGCAGCAAGCGTTCGCAGTCCGCAAACCGCACTGACGGCTACAACATGGCGGCTCCCAACAGCGGATCATCTGCGTATGTCAAAAACGCTATATCTTTGCCTTATCTTAACGAAGAGGTCAGCAGCAACGGGCCCAATAGAATGCCAAAAAGTGTCTCGTCGAGTCCGATTAAAAAGTTGTCAGATTACGAAAGCAAACCGGCGAACGGAGCGGCGGCTATGGCTTCGCTGGATGCCGAATTTGAAGAGCGAAATTTTGGCGAGCTGACCGATTTGCCACCGTCGAAGCTTAAGCAGACCGGAATGAAACATGCAGAGTCTATGATGTCTTTCCACATTGACCTGGGACCCTCCATGCTCGACGATATTCTGGGCGTGATGGAGAAAAAGGCGTGGGAAGAGGACGATTTGGGATTCGAAGAGGACAAAGTCAGCGACGGAAGAGCTTCGCCGTCTTACATCCCGCATATCGACGACGACGACGCAGACGTGAAGGCTCCGACCAGACCCCCGAGGAGTATGGGGACCTACGGGCAAGAAATCCAAGCCAGGAACAACATGAACAGCCACGACGATAGCTACTCCATTTCTAGCACCGAATCGGTCGGCGACGACGACAAACGGCAGTACATCCACGAAGATACGGATAGCGCAAAGTACAGTTCACCGCGGCATGGAGAAGACGGCGAATTTACTTTTATGGATGAAGACGACGATGAAATTCGAGTCTAGGCAAAAACATTGGACATAGAGCTATAAAAACGTATTGAACAAGACCTTGACAAAAGACTTGATAAAGGTCATATACTTAAGTTTTGAAATCATATCGTGGCAACAGCAATAATCATTTAAGCCTTATTCACCAGGGAGACTGAGCTCTTTGGAGAATTCTCTTTTCAATTAATAATGAAAAGGATCCTGTATTTGAAAAGCGTCCTTTCTCACAAGAGCAATGACAGATGTAATATTTGAACAAACCAGCGGAAAATTACCATGACAGTCGTTCGTTTGAAGTGGAGGATTTATGACCAAAAGGTTAAAGAACTGTGATGGACTGTCACATGAAACCCGCATGGAGATTGTGAGAGCAAGAAGTCACAAGAAAAGACTGACAAATTGTACACTACAGAATAGCGGAAGTGAAACTAAGATTTGTAACAGTCTTCTTTCTTCCTTGCAACACCCTGTTTACTTATTGTTGACATTTAAGTGTGAAAAACCTATTTCTTTTGGACACAAATGCATTCGTTATTGTTTTTTGAGGGAAACATATGTAGTATTTGCAGTTTACATGAGCAGCATGGCTTCATCGTGGCACTTACTCGACATTAAGAAGAACACTCCTATCAGGTTAAAGCTCACGTGTGTAAAATCACTGTTGGTTGCTGATGTTTTTAATGTGAACAAGTTAATATGACACAGTTGACACATACTAAATGTGAGGATCCGATGGAGCAAGTCAAAAGATAGGCCGACGTAATGTGATTTTGAAGTGGGAGCAAAAGTGCCATCAAAAATAATTAGTAAATATTATAAATTAAGCTAATCAATATCAAGGAGATATGTCGGAAAAAAAAATTCAAGCTTCAAAGGCGAGCAGCAGAAGGCAGATTGTATTTTTATGTATCCACACTTCCCCAAAATGCAACACGCAATTAAATCAAAAAATGAACTGGCATCGCTTTTTGACCGCCAATGGACCGCTTTGGCGTTGGTCCAGAAAAACATTAGACAGGTGTGCATTTGCAAAGTTTTTGCACATTGCTTTTTGCTCATTTACTTCAATAGTAGTCAATAATTTAGATGTTTACACAACTCGTCGCTATTCCAATTGATGCCTGGTTGTTTCATTTGTATTAAAAAAGCAGTAATTTAGGTCCGTATGAACAATTTTAACGTAAATTGATTTTGATACAGGTGTAAAAATGCACGTTGCTCTGAACTCGGCGACGTCTTCGAGCCGAGACGAAAGAAAATTGACATGGAAAAGTAGCCAAGTGTATTCTTTAACATTGGGGTAGAAAGACGGTGTTTATTTTTTCTACTCGTGTATAGAAATGCAGTCTTAAACGTTGATGTAACGGGCCAAACTTACTATGTTTTCTTACGATTATTGAGATTGTGTAGACAGCTGCTGCGATTTGTCAGCTTTGTACATACTATAGAAAGCCGTATACGTTTTTACAGCTGTTTTATAAATCTTACAATGTGAATGAATATCAGCTCTACAGTATCTGCTTTATTTTCTGACCTTGCGGTACTGGCACAAGACGCACTACATTTGCGGCTAAACTATTTGAACAGAATTGTGTGTTTCAACAAGCAGACATCATGCTATACTTTTATACTATCCAAGAATCTCAATAAAACAATGTGTTGAATTTCTTGGTACTGGCTTGTGGGAAAGACACAGTTGACCTTTTGTTAACTATGAAAGGAATTTAAAGTGATCCAATGACTGTTGTGAGAGATGGTAAAAAAAGTAAAGATGTTTTGTTTGGTGGGAGCGCTATGCCATGTATTTCCTTTCTCTGGTTTAACAGTCTATTAATATATTCACATCTTTCACTTTCCTCCTTTTGAAATAACAGCTCTATTTTTCAATAAATAAAAGCTGTAATATTTGACATGGCCTCTGTTTTATTGTGTTGCTGCAAGACAAAAGCTATGTTTTCTTTTGGCCGAAAGTCAGGTAAGTAGTTGTTGTATTAATAGTAATAATGCTTTGGACTTGTGTAGTGGACTTTTTGGAATAGCAATGATGCTATTTGTGGGATTGTTCACTGACAGAAGTGAGGTGACTAATCCTATTCAATTCAAATAACTTTATTTATCTGTGTGGAACTTCCTTGCAGATGGACCACCAGTGCGCTCCATAAAAACACACAGACACACCATCCATCTTCTTCCCCTTAATCCATTTCTGGGTCGGGGGGGTGGCAGTCAGAGCTGCACCCAGTACACAGAGCACCAGCCCCTCACTGATCCTTCTGCAGGTGGTGAGTCCACAGGAGCCTTGAACTTTCAGCAGAGGCTTCAGGCAAAGTGGAGTTAAGTGTCTTGCCCAAGGACACAACCGCAGCAGTCATCAGTGGGAGTCATGAAGTAAGTCTTGAGGTGGGCCCGAACCCACAACCTTCATGCCCAAAGGCCAATACTTTACCAACTGAGCCACCTTCGCCCCAGACACACCATCCATCCATCCATCCATTTTCTTCCCCTAAATCCATTTCTGGGTCTGGGTGGCAGTCAGAGCTGCACCCAGTTCACAGAGCACCAGCCCCTCACTGATCCTCCTACAGGTGGTGAGTCCACAGGGAAATGGCTGCTCTAGTCTGAGCTGCCTTGGTCTTTCAGCAGGGGCTTCAGTGTCTTGCCCAAGGACACAACGACAGCAGGCATCAGTGGGAGTTGTGAAGTAGGTCTCATGGTGGACTGGAATCCACGACCTCCACGCCAATGTTCTACCAACTGAGCCACTGTCACATACCTGTACATTTTCACTCTTACCTGCCTACCTTGGTGTTCCCATAGGTCTCCCATCACAGTACAAACCAAACCTGCCCTGCTTAGATTCTGAGGTCTAAGGAGATCAAGCTTTCACATACAGGTTTAGCCAACTTTTCTTTACACGCCAAAATTATCCATTTTATGAAGTGACTACTTTACGACTGACTGGAATGATTTCATTTTAACCTTGATCTATTTTCGGGAAGCTTCGAAGACCTGTACTCGCATGAACACAGACAAATTTCTAAAACAATCAGCAGGATGGCAAGATGGGGCTTATTACGGACATATAATTTGAAGGGCTCTTAGTGAAAAGTGTTTGGAAGAGCAACCATCCGACATCACCAGAATGTGATAGAAACTCTAGGTTGTTTTATTGTAAATTTACATAATAGAATTTGTTTGGCCTAAAATGTTAAAATGCCCTGGCCACTTAAAAGGTGATCAATGCTCAAACATGCAGAGTGGAGCGATCTGTAAGTTGTAAGGTTTAACTGTGATCCAAGTGCGCCCTCTACTGTTGAAGGAAGTAAGTGCTGTTCATAGACTAAAGAAGTAGTGTGACTTATCAAAAGTCAAAGTAATTTCTTTACCGTTTTTCTGCAATAAATGTGACTATAAACTTAACCTTATAGCATATTTAAGTAGTTTAAGTTGTTGAGATCTCATACAATTAAATTAATTTACCTACAATTGAAATATTTCTGGGGCGACAGTGGCTCAGTTGGTAGAGCATTGGCCTTTAGGCCTGAAGGTTGTGGGTTCGTTTCCCACTTTGACACATTCTCCACCGACTCTGATGACTGCTGTCGTTGTGTCCTTGGGCAAGACACTTAACCCCACTTTGCCTGAAGCCCCGCTGAAAGATCTCAGCTCCTGTGGACTCTGGGGCAGGTGTACTGGGTGCAGCTCTGACTGCCACCCCCCTGACCCAGAAATGGATTAAGGGGAAGAAAATGGACAAATGAAACATTTCTACTGGCCTTTATAGTATTGATTTAAACATTGAAAAGGTTTGTTCATAATATTATCAAATAACGAGTTTTTTGGGGCCGTTTGCATTTCCAAAGTTGAAATTTCCATAACACAGTGAAGAGGAGTCTTGTGTTAAGTAGCCACCAGATGGCGCCAGACAACAGTGGCTTTTCTATCGCACAGATGCTCACTGTTATCTTTTCTGTTCTTTACTCTTCAAAATTGCCTTTAAAACTCCAAACACATTTAGGAGAACAGCAGGCGTGCTTGGTTTAGTCTAGAGGTGTAAAGCCCTTGTAATCTGCTTCTGTGAATCGTTATACCATCACAAAAGCAGGTAGTAATCTTCAAAACACCATAGAAATTATTACAAAATGCATGTGATTTTTGGGTTATTTCTGCAGTCGTCGTGACAAAACCAAAGAGCATCTCATCAGGGAACGATTTAGTACGGTCCACGTGTTTCGGAAAAAGTCAAATATTTATTCTGAGAGGCGGTCGGTCACACAATTCATCTTTGTAAATGTGAGCGTGGTCAAACACAGACATGAATGTATAATGGAGCAGGCTGAATCTGAAACAGGTTGGGCTGGATTTGAATTAAGATTAAAATGCACACAACAGTCGAATACAAAATATGGGAAAGAGAATGAACTGTGCATATTGTAACTTTTTATTTCAGCAGCGGTTTCATGGTTGCTTCAGATGGAAAGAAAAAAATCCATTTACATTACAGCTCTTGTGTTTGTATGTATTTACTGCCCAAACAAAAACATGAATTTCCTGTCGGTTTGGTCATGGTATCACCTGCTTTTCCATTAGTTTTATTGTCCCACTCCTTTCTGAGCCAAACCCTTTTTTTAAATTGAATAATAGCATAAGTTGTACAGACCCTCCCTGTAACTTTTTTGTTTTGTTTTGCTCTTCATTCTCTTGTTGCAGAATGTTATAATTTTGTACGGCTCAAAATAAAGTGTCAAATCAAATCAATTAATGCATTTACTAAAGAATTCTGTGGAAAACTCTGCACCGCCCTGCATCGAGAAAAGCAGGTATTTATAAGGAAATAATAATAATATTTAATTTGAGTGATTTAGGGCTTTTCTTGACTCCCAAATACACATTATAGTGCAACAGTCGCCACAGTTGCCCTGGGGTGGACTGATGACAGCAAGGCTACCAATCTTTTTCTCCACACACACACACACACACACACACACACACACACACACACACACACACACACA